TACTCTATCGTAAAATTCAAACAAACACTCATCATAAAAAAATTAAAAACCCTAAATGATTAAGAAACAATAAATGTTATATATAATAGTAATTATACATTATATAATATTTTTTAAAATTTTAATCAATAATTAATAAAAATTATCATATTTCATCCATAATATTTTTAAAAAATAATAACTAAATACAAAAATAACTTTCAATGACAATTATAACACAACACAATTATAGTTGCAACTATAACTACAGTAATTTACAGTAATTTTAAATACATCCTTTATTTTTAAATTTTTTATTTTTATTAAAAATATATCATTAAATTAATTAAGTGATGCACGTTATATTGTAATTCTACTAATATGATTCTTGAGATTAAAAATGTGATGTTATATGGATAATTTTTTTATATCATTTTTTTATATAATTTTTATATATTGTTGAATAAGTGAATGTATTTAATATCATAAATTTCATATTAATTAAAAAAATTAATTATTTAAATGATACGTCAAGTTATATAAAAAAATAAAATAAAAAAAAATTATACAAAAACCATTTTTCTAGACTAAAATCAAGTTGGGAGTCAAGTCACTTTCGAAGTAAGCAGGCCTACCAAGAGCTCGAGTGGGTGAAGGAATATGGTGGGGCCGAGGTCAAAACCCAGTTGACTTGAGTTGGTTGCTTGCTTGCTTTTGTACGTGGCCAGCAAACACAATCAGAAAGCAGGCACTTCCCCCCATTCTGAGTGGCATTATGAAAGTTGCGTGGTATGGATGACACTCATTTCACGCTTCAGTGACGTGGTCAACTCTTAGCTCCACGTTGGCATGCTGATGCTGCCATTCGTAGCTCTTCCAGTGTCTAATGTTTATTTTTAAGAAGATGACATGGTTGGCATAGTAAAATTACAATTATAGTGTAGTATTGTATATTTAATTTTTTTCATATAGGGATTCAATAATATTATATATATTTATTAATGATATTTTTGAGTTAGGGGAAACGGAGAGGGAAGGAGGGGATAGAAAAAGAAAAAGAAAAATATTTGGTTAAAAACAAAAAAAGACGAGAGGAGAGGAAGAAAATTTATTTTATTTTATTTTTTTAAGAGGATAATACTTATTTATATTACTTTTTAACAATTAAGAAGAAAATTATTCTAAAATTATGTTATTTTTATAAATTTTTATTAAAAAAATTAAAATACTATATTTTTAAACCATAAATTACAATATTTTTTATCTTTTCATATAGTATTTTATCTACGTAATATTAGAATTAAGCCAAATAAACACTAATTTTTTTTTTAATTTTTCCCTACTCATCCTTCTTCCTTCTTCTTTCTTCTTCTTATTCTTTCTCTCTCTTTTCTCCCTTCTTCTTCCTCTCCAGATCTGGGTTTTTCTCAAACCCAGATCTAGAATGCGCCTCATCTCTAAAACCTAACATGTCCAACAACCTGGTACCCTTTTTGGTGGCGTGTATAATCTCCTCCATCAACATCAGATCCCTCTCGTTCAACCTTATGAAACATCATCGAACCAGTAATCGGGTCAAGCAGACTCGGATGCTGTATCGAAATCCAGGCGTGGAGAAGCAGAAACTCAAAGAAGCATATCGGAGCATGGTAGAACAATAAACAAGCAAGAGAGCAAACACAAATGGGAAATGAGCAGATAGATAAAAGGGAGAAATAGAAGACTACCCGCAAGGTTCCAAGGCTCGTGCTTGTAGATTTCGACCTCACCAATGGCATTAAACCTCACAAGTTCAGACAAAATCTTCCTCTTGAGGTAGTAGTTGACCAACTCTTCATTAGTCGAGTGGAATCGAAATCCTGGTGCAAGTGCTGTCATTGCCGTCATGGTCCCTGTCTTCCCGTTGGCTGTGGTGACAATCGCCGAATTGCTTTTGCGACCCATCACAGAATCCTCAGCAGAGACTTGATTCGGAGCCTAGGTTTGTGGGGAAGAGAAGAGAAATGAAAAGGTGAAGTGGGGTTTGATTGATGGGGAAGAAACAGCTAGTGGGTACTTGTGATTGCAAGAAATTTGGGTTGAAGTTAAAACGGCTAAAAAAGCCAAAGGACAAATTGGTGACCATTTTTGTGTGTTTAAATCTTGTCTGGTAATAAAAAATTTTGGCAAAAAATCTATGCCTTTTCTGATAAGATTTTTTCTTTTCTTTTTTCTTTTAAACTAATGGAGGACAGGGATAAGCACTTTGCTAATTACAATGACTAAGAAATTTTGCTTCTCCATGCTCGGATTTCTTTCTGCAAACTCCAAATCTTGTATCAGAGCGTATTGAAACCCTAACACTACAATTTTTCTTTTTTACAGTTAGATTTTTGTGCTGTCATTTTCATTGTTCTTCAACTGGAGTTTCTATTAGATACGGTTTTGATTTATCAAGTTAAGATTCAGACTTTCAGTAGGAAATTGAAGTCAACATGGTAGATGGAGAAGGCAACGCATTGCAACATTTGAGCACTCAACGAACACGTTCATAGGCAGTAATCTAAGTGCCAAAGAAGAAGAAGACACAAGTTTCGATAGAAGATTCGGAGTTAGCAGAGCAGAATCTGAGTGCAATGTTTAAGAAAAACCCAAATCTGGAGAGGAAGAAGAAGGGAGAAGAGAGAGAAAAAGAATAAGAAAAAGAAAGAAGGATGAGCAAGTAAAAAGAGAATTTTTTTTTTGACTTGGTTGAAAAAAAAAAAGAATCATTATTTTCAAATTAAATAAAAATACCAACTCAAAAAAAAAAGAGGGTCAATTATGTTTTTTTTTTTTGCCTAGTCATTACTTAAAAAAAAGGAATTGATTTTGTTGGGAAGTTAACGTGCCACCTGTATATTTAATTGATGAAGGATTATTTTAATATCAAAAATAAAAATTTAAAGATAATTTTAATATTTTTTAAAAATAAAAAATAATTTTAATGTCAAAATAAAAAATTAAG